TTATTCCTTTAAGTAGCTTCCTGTTCTTGTTTCATAGAATCAGTCTTCTTGTATCTCTCTGAGGATATTAGTGATAGTTTACTTTTCAAAGTTGTTTCCTCAAAACTATTTTTCTACCTTGGTCTGTCTTTCATGTTAGATGCTTTCCTTGGACATCTGTTAGTCCTTGGATGTCTCCTCACAATGAGCAATGGGAATTGAAAGCTAATTGGAAGCTCTGAGCGTAGTCATGGGCCCTGTCAAATTTGAGCATCACTGAAGAGTGACCTCATTGCGTTGTTTGTAGGGAATTTCCAATATTGGTGTCTCTAGATTTTTCCTCTTGGGGTGGTCAGATTTTCCAGAGAATTTCCAGTTTCCTGCCTAGAAGGTAAGGTGTAGGGGCCAGCCTCGATAAGATTTCAGGATTCATCATTCAATATGTATTTAGTCACTTACCCCCAGACCCTAACTATTGTTTCATAAAAGTTTCCATGCCCTCAGCTGAGCCAGTCACCTTCCAGTGCAAAGACTCTCTCTTTTACCCTCTCTTGAGGAAATAACCTCCACAATTGTGCAGAGGTGGAGGAGAGGATTAAGGGATCTTTCTGATTCTCAGCTTTCAATCAATCTTCCTTATTTTAGCCCACTACCTCCCATTCTAGAGGTCCCTGCTGTTCCCTGTGTGTGAGCCTTTTGGGTATTGTGCTGTGTAAATCAGGTTGATTTTCAACTTTCCCACTGCTGACATAAATTTGGCTTTTTCTTGTTTGCTAAAATAGAATTGCTTCTCATCCATCTGCTTTCTAGCTTACAAAAATCTTGTCACTGTTCTCTCTTCTCCTGCTTTTCCTATCTTTATGAGGTTTTTTAAGCTTTTTTTTTCTTTTTGAAGATTGGCACCTGAGCTAACGACTGTTGCCAATTGTTTTTTTTCTTTCTGCCTTTTCTCCCCAAATCCCCCCAGCACATCGTTGTATATTTTAGTTGTGGGTCAACTTTCATGTTGAGGTGGCATGTGAGACACCACCTCAACATGGCCTGACGAGCGGTGCCATGTCCGTGCCCAGGATCCAAACCGGCGAAACCCAGGCTGCCAAAGTGGAGCACACGAACTTAACCACTTGGCCACGGGGCCAGTTTATGGGCTTTTTGGTTTTTTTTAAAGAAAAGAATTCCTTGTTGCAGTTTTATTGGGGCTGGAAAAAAGAATGAAATTAGCTATGTATGTTCAATTTGCTATCTTATTAGAAATCTCTACATCAGTTTTTTTAACTGCAACATAGTATTCATAGTGTAGAAACACCAATATTTTTTTATCTATAATATGGTAGAATTTGCTTCCAAATGTTTGCCTTCAGAAACAATGCAGTATTCTTGCACATACCTTTCCTGCCCTCCACATATGAAAATACTTCCAAAAGTGAAATTTCTGGACTGAATGTGTGCCTTTAAAACTGTAATAGCTACTATCAATTTGTCATTCAAAAAGGCTGACCCAGTTTACTGTCTTACCAACAGTACTCAGTTCCCCACATCATGCCAACATAGGAATAATCTTTGACATTTTTGCCACTCTAAAAGTTGAAAAATGATGCTTCATTATTTTAATTTGCATTTCCTTGATTACCACTGGATGTGAGCATCTCGGCTCACGATTATGTGGTAGCTAGCCTCCACGATGGCCCCAATTAATTCTTGCCTCCTGAGACTTAAGCCTTTGTGTAGTCCCCTCCCACACTGAAAAAGGCTAACCTGTGTGATGGGCAGGATGCTGAAGAAATGATGGAGTATGACTTCTGATGGTAGGTGATAAAAACTCATGGTGGCCTCTGTCCTGAGCTCTTCGTGACTTCTTGCTTTGGGGGAAACCAGCCTCGATGTCTTCAGGACATTCAAGCAGCCGTATGGAGAGGTCCAAGTGGCCAGGCACTGAGGTCCTCTGCCAACAATCAACATTAACTTCCCAGGCACGTGAGTGAACCACCCTTGAGTGGATTCTGAAGCCCAGTAGGGTCTTCAGATGACTGTAGCCTTGGCCGACATCTTGACTGCAACCTCAGCTGCTCCACATTCCTAACCCACACAGACTGTGGGAGATAACAAGTATTGATTGCTTTAAGTAGCTACATTTTGGGGTAATTTGTTACGTGGTAATAGATAATTCACATTTTTGTTTTGGTCCATTTCCATTTTTCTGGGAATTGCCTGTTTTATACTGTGTCCATTTCCCATTGTTCCATTAAAAAAATTATGTGGGGACTGGCCCCATGGCCGAGTGGTTAAGTTCGCACACTCCACTGCAGGCGGCCCAGTGTTTCGTCGGTTCAAATCCTGGGCGCGGACATGGCGCTGCTCATGAAATCACGCTGAGGCAGATTCCCACATGCCACAACTAGAAGAATATACAACTATGTACTAGGGGGCTTTGGGGAGAAAAAGGAAAAAAAAATAAAATCTTTAAAAAAAATTACGTAGTTATTCTTTAAGTATAAAATATACACTAATCCTTTGTTATACATGTTGCACATATTTTTCTCAGTTTATTGAATGTTTTTTAAACTTTATCATTTTTGGTTTGCAATAATTTTAAATCCTTTACTAGTCTAAAATATCTTTCCCTTAATGTCTTTGACATGCTGTATATTGTAATAAGACTTTGTCTACCTTAAGGTTTTACAGCATTGTTTCTTCATAGAGCTTTTTACTACATATGGAATTCATTTTAAATCTATTTTACTTTTCTCCCAAACTGAGAGCCAGTTATCCATTAGCTATTTATTATACCATTTAAACTTTTTAACTTTCATTAAAACTTTGCTATTTAAACATTTATTAAAGCTATTTCAACACCATTTATTTAATAGCTTACTTTTTTACCCCTACGGGTTTGAAATACGATTGTCGTTTCATACTATGTCTCCATATATTCAGGGATCTATTTCTGTGCTATTTGATTCCCTTGATCATTTGTCTAATTCTGTTCCAGGATCATACTGGTTTAATTATTATGGCTTTATAGTATGTTTTGATGTCCTATAGATTAACATATCCTCTCATTCATTTTTCTTCTTGTTCAAACTTGCCCTGGCTATTCATTTTTCAAGTGAATTTTAGAACCAGCTTGTCACTTTTCTTAGCTTGTTTGGGGCTTTGATTGTATTAACTTTATACATTGTTTTGGTGAAAACTTCTATCTTTAAAATATTGATTTTTCTCATCCAGGAACATGATATACCTATTTTGGATCTTCTTTCATGTTGTTTAATAAAGTTTTTTGTTTTCTTCATATGTCTTGCACATTAATTAAGTTTATCCTTCGAATTATAAGTTCTTAATGCCATTATTAATGAAATATTTTGGTTTTCCATATGTTATTTTCTCCTTTTTTAAATGCTTTTTGGTGAGGAAGATTGGCCCTGAGCTAACATCTGTTGCCAATCTTCCTCTTTTTCTTTTCTTCTCCCCAAAGCCCCACTACATAGTTGTATATCCTGGTTGTAGGTCATCCTAGATGGTCTATGTGGGATGCCGCCATAGCATGGCCTGAGGAGTGGTGCATAGGTCTGCGCTCAGAATCCAAAATGGCAAACTCCGGGCTGCTGAAACAGAACGTGTGAACTTAACCACTCAGCCACAGGGCTGGCCCCCGTATGTTATTTTCTAGTTGCTTAATGTTGTGTATAAGAAAGCTATTGTATATGAAATCTATTGATTTGTATATATTGATTTAATATTTGGCACCTTATGAAACTCTTTTATTAGTTCTAATAATTTTTCAGTTGATTCTGTTCTATGTAGCTCATTTCATCTATAAATAATCCTAGTTTTCTATTTTCCTATCCAACATCTGTCCCTCTTATTTCTTTTACTTCTCTTATTGCATTGACTAGGGCCTCCAGCAAAGTGTCAAACAATAGTTGTGATAAAGTTATTGATACTATTATGATACTTCCTCATCTGATGTTGAATAGGACATTTGCTGTGGAGTTATGGTAGTTAACCTTTATCAAATTAAAAAAATTCTTTTTGCTATTTCTATTATGTTAAGAATTATTAAGAAGTGATGTACTGATTTATTAATGTTTTTTCAGGATCTATTGAAATACTCATTTTTCTTCTTTTCTAATCTGACAGTGTTGAGAAATACAGCAACAGATTTCTTAACGTTTAACCATCTTTACGTTCCTGAGAGAAATCTTATTTGGTCATGATGTATTAGTCTTATAATTCAATGTTGACTGTGTAATACATTCTAGATAGATTTTGGTCAAAACTTCTAATACCAATTGGTATTTAAAGCAGTTTATCATTAAATTTGCTGAAATATATTTTTACCTAATACCAGGTAAATGCGGTATTTTGGGCCTAAGAATTTATACCTGGATTCCAACAGAATTTTATTATTTTGCTTACGTAAGTTTTCTGCTTTTATTAACAGATACTACCTGTTATATATGTATCTGCTATGTATTTTTATTAGTGTTCTGAGAATATATGTCGCTGGCCTGTCACAGACTGTAGAGTCAGACTAAAAGATATGTAGGAACAACAGGATACTGTATTTGCCACCTTCTCTCACTTTACTGCTATTCTTTCTCCCCTCTTTGCTAGTTACTCACAGAACTTGGTTAGAAATTTAGCTCTTCTAATTATTAGCAAGTAATTTCATAGTTATTTATCCTCTGTGAGCCTCAATCAGGCCATCTGTGAATTTATAATTTATAATTGAAATTATAGTAATACCATTTATGGCTGAGCTGATAGACCCTCAAGAACACACCCACATATTGAGAGCTTGTATATATTATCAGCAGGGCAAAATTAAGTTATACACAGCTATTAGAAAACAGCAAATAGGTTTCTTTTGAACCGTCTGTCACATCTTCATGGACCCACACATTTCTGCCTCTTAAGTCCAACAGGTAAACAGGTGAGCCAGGCCAAAGATATGGCAGACTACTAGCAGGCTGTTGTGGAAGGTCAGTACAGAAAGCATACTAAAAGCTTGATCAGCAATATGTAGCTCAAAGATTTTATGATTATATAATCCTGGGTTACATCACCCACTGAGACTTTAATAATCTGTTTCAACAAATCTTGAAATTGTTTTGGGGGTCTTCTACCATCAGTAGCCATTACTATTTTAAAAATGAAAACTGGAAACACTGCTTTCTAGGCCTTGAAAGTCCTATTGCCCGTAACACTTCTTCATGGGTTGTTATGAAGCTTAAATGAGACATGGTATGTAATGCATGTAACAGCATCTGGCATAGTACCTGCTGCATTCCACTGGTTTTGTAAAGCTGAGTATTTAAATGCTTACATAAAGCTTTCAAGAAGAATGTGCCAGGCATTATGCCAAGTAGGGGATAAACATTTTTTAAAAATAGGTACTTGCCCTAATACCTAGTGGGTGAGGCAGAGAAATAAATGACACAATACAGTGTGATAGTCACCAGAGGCTTAAGGGAACCAGCAAGCTGGGCTCTCAACTCAAGACAGCATGGAGTTCATAGAGCTGTTGGGTACATCAGGAGCTGGCCGCTGGAAGAAAAGAGGAAGAGCAGTCTGGTCAAAGGGCACAGCTTATGCTGAGGCATGGAATTCTGAGAGGCAGGCACATCGCGAAGTTGCGAGTGGGTGAGCAGGGTGGGTCTTCAGATGAGGTTAATATAGAAGGCTTTGCAGGGCCCTTAAAACAAAGGGGCTGATTTTTCCTCTTTTCCATGACTCAGGGTCTCATTATAAACTTTAGAATTGGCCCCTCTGAAATGCCCCCTGGCCTCAAGGCACAGGTGTTTGCCTGCAGTCCAGGAAGCTCTCTAGCTGAGGTCACTTCTCAGTGACCCACAAGTCACCTCCAAGTCTCCATTCTGCTCTGTGCTCTAACCTAAGGAATAAACTCGGAGTTTACAAAGGGAATCCGATAATCAAGTTTCGTCACCTGGAACACTTCATCTTTTAGGTACTTTCAGGTTATGAGCTCCTGGCCCGAGGGCCAGATTCCAGTCCTCACCTTGGTCATGTCTTTTTGTTGCGTCTTCTATTTTCTTTTATAGTTAAAACGCCCTATACAGTTATTTAGACGCAGCATTTTAGAAGTGGAGCAAGAAGCTGGAGCGTTTGTCTCGGTGACCGGCCGACTTTCGGGCTCTGTACGATACCATTCCAAGGTTCGACGGCTAACTCAGAACCAGACGCCCACCCTGGAATGGAAGGCAAACAGAAAAATCTTGGTAAAAGTTGGAGGGTTCGCTGCTGTTAATGCCAGCCGAGAGTCAGAACGAAAATTCAGCCAACCAAAACACAATCCAGAAGCTCCATGCTTTTCTATTCCTGGTGGTCCTGCAATCTGCTAAAGGTGGTGTCCTGTAAATTGCTACCTAGCGACCGCCGAGCCCGAAGGGCAGGGTGCGCCCGGGTGCGGCCCCGGCCGCGGCGCCCGGAGCGGGGGCGCGCACACCCCTTTTCTGCAGACTCACAGGTTTCCAGGCCCCGCCTCCTCTGGGCCCAGCGATCCCCGCAGCCCTGCAGGCTCGGAATCCCGGCGCCCAGAGCCCCGCGCCCTCGGCTCCCGGCCCCAGCTCCCGCCCCGGGGCCTCCCAGAGCGCCGTGGGCGGCGGGGCCAGCAGCCGACCTGGGCCCGGGCCGCGCAGCCTCCGGGTCGGACAGGCGCAGGGCCGGGGGCGGGGCGGCCGGGCCGGGGGCGGGGCGGCGGCCGCGGCCGTGAGCCCGCCCCCCGCCCGTCCTCCGCCGGCCGGCCGGCGCAGCCATGGAGGTCTACATCCCGTCTTTTCGCTACGAGGAGAGTGACCTGGAGCGGGGATACACGGTAGGCGCGGGCCGCGGCCGGACAGGAACCCGGGAACCGGGCCCGCGGCGGCTGAGCAGGAGGTGCCCCGGGCCGCCGCCGCCCCTGCGCAGGGGGTCCCCTCGCTCCGCTCCCCTCCTCCAGCCCAGAGGAAGGGCTGCGCCCCGCGCGGTTGTCAAGGAAACGGGCGCCCCCGCCCTGGCGCGGCGGCTGCGGGCGCCCGGGGTCTCCGGGTTCGGTCCCTTTCCCCTCCCAGACGCGCCCCGGGGCTCGGGCTGGAGCGCCTGGAGTCGAGTCCTCCGACGCGGCGCTCGCCATTCTCCCCGCCGCCCGCCCTCTGGAGCCCGGGATGGGCTGCGTTCGTTTCTGGCACAGCTGCCCCCTTTGCCCAGACACAAGTGGCTTCCCGGCGGGTTGATGTTGGGTTCCAAGTTCATTCAGATGAAAAATATGCTGATTCTTAAAAATCCTCATTCGTAGCTGTTTATTAGCCAGAGTGAATACACGTATTGCTTTTAGATGGTTTGCAAAGTTTTTTGCTAGTTCTGCAGTGTCATGAAACGGCAAAATCAGGTACTCACTGAACACCTGTCCCATACTTGGGACTGGGATCACTGAGAAGTGAGGAACAGAGCCTCTGCTCTCAAGAGTGGAGGAGTGGGCGGGGAGGGCAGAGACCAGGGCCTGGGACCTTGGGGTAGTAAGATTGGTAAGTAAACTGTGTGTCGTTGATTTCCTAGTGAATTTAGGCATCTTTATCTTGACAGTCGTTCCTAGAGGAAGAAAGATCTGAGGCTGGGTAGACCTCAGAAGAATTTACAGGTAGGCTTCGGAGAAGGTCGCAGAGGGCAGAAAGAAAGGATTATTTTATTCGCTTCTACCTCACTCACTTGCTAAGCACCAGCTGCTTTAACCTCTCTCACCTCCGCTAAATATTATTTGGTTTTGGTGTCAGCCTTTCTGGAACCGTGTGTTTTCACAGGGAGGATTAAATCACCCTCTCAAAGGAATTTTTAGAATTAAGAGTAGTGATTGAAAAAAGAAAATCCAGATTGTATGTGGGTTTTTAGAATTCAGTAGACTGCTGGGTCCAAGTGTCCCAAAACATGTACTCAAAGTGCCTTCCCCTCCGAAGCTGCAGCTGAGGGGGGAGCTGAGCTCAGTATAGTGGCCATTATTTATATAAATAATCCTTTCCAATGAATTACCATTTGGTTAAATATGCTGTATTTTCTTTAAAAGAAAAATGTTAAATTTGCACCTGTTCAAGGCTTTTTCCTTAGGCCTGATGCCTTGGTTGTCTTTTGATCTTCCAATATCTCACCTCTCCCGTCAGCATCAGCAGTCACGGAGGGCCTACCATCATCTTTGGGGCCTTCTTTCAGGATCTGAAGAGAAAAAGGCTGTTTGTTAGGGGACTGAGTCTTTAGAGAAAAGAGGAAAGTGATTGAGTAGTCCATGCTAAAAGTTTATCACCTTCCAAAATAAGTACTTTTAAATAAATCAAAATTAAGGCTCATTGGCCGTTATTGAGTTTTCTTCTATTAGAGAATCTGTGTTTTCCCCAAAGTTTTCATATATTTTTAAATTATTTTCCTCATAACCAGGCATGAGCCAGACTCCAGGTTGTGAATTAAACTGGTTTGGAAGGAACCCTTTCCTTGGTAAACTTGGTAGTTTGAAGATTGCTTATGTGATGAGAGTTTGTATGATCTTTAAGAGTTTACATTAAAAAAAACTTTACTCATTTTAGATCAGTAACTATAGTGTTAAGATACCTTCTGCAGTGATTTTTTTCTTCTGTGAGTTTGTGAAGCAGCCATTAGATACTTTATTCCCTCTGAGCACCTGTTTTGTAATTGTACAGCAGTTTATTCACTCAGCAGATATTAACCTAGTGCCTGACATATGTCTCTATTCTAGGGCCTGGGAATACAGCAGCGAATAAGATTTCATCTTGTAAAGAAAAAGCCCTAGAGTTTAAAAAATGTAATCTCAGTTTCCTAAATAAGAAAGTGGTAAAATAATGTACACTTTAGTGTAAAAAAGTACTTTTTTACTTTAGTGATTCTGTTTGTGTTTTAAATTTAAGAAATATTATATTGCATTCTAACAAATTCAGTGATAGGCATTTTAAAGTAGAAAAATATAGTTCTTCCTCCCTGTTAGGCTCAATATAGAAAGTAATTTACCTTTAAAGAGTGAACTTTTGCCTTTTTGACATTTAAACATTTTCTGTGGGCCTGCACTGTGTCTAGTGGGGGATTGAGAGATGGGAGGATGTTCCTGCCCTTAGGAGTTCTCAGCCCATCCCGGGGGTGGGGGGCAAGTTAGGGAAGGGTGAGGGTGCCTGATGTCAGCTGGAGTCCTGAGAAGGGGGAGGGCAGTTCTGCTCTGCCTTAGGGTGATGTGCTGGGGGTGGGGATGGGGGTGCTTAGGAATGCTGACTATTTGAATCCGATTAGTTTTTTGCTGAGATTGTGAATTCTAGAAAGAGGAAGCGCAGGGCAAAATCTCATCTCAGGCGAAAGGACTGATTCTCCAAAAAAAAAGGGCCACTTGTAAATCATTTTAGTTTACAAAGAAGCAGGAGAGGATATTGTACCAAAATGCAGATGAGCTCAAATATTACTTCGTAGGGAGGTTATTCTCTATCGGCCACCCCCCCACCCCATCCCTCCTTGGTTTTTTTGTTTAGGATCTGTTTCCCTGCTGGGCTATAAGCTCCTTGAGGCTAGGACAGTGTCCATCTCCACTGCTGTACCCTAGTACAGGGCATATCACATAGTAAGAATTCATTATGTGTCTGCTGGATAAATAATGACTGACTGAGTCTTCTAATGGGGGAATAAATCAGAAGAGCAGTGATCCTGAGTCATGAAGCCCCTCTGTGTGTTGGACGGGGGTCAGGGTACAGACTGGAATTTAGAGTAAGTAGCAGGAATCATGCAGGGTGATTTCCAGACAGAGAGAGGTGGGTAGAGACCAGCTCACTAGCCTTGAGAACTACGTGGGAGAAGAGCCTTCAGCCTCAGACAATGGGAAGTCACTGGGGAGTTTTAAGGAAGGAAGTAACATGATTATGTTTGCGTTTAGAAAGATGACCCTGGAGCATTAATCGTTTAAGAGACACTTGCAAAATGACGAGAAAGGAGAGGATGAGGGCCTGACTAAGGCAACTAGGAAGGAAGGGGGATGCTGACAGGAATCTCATGGGCCTGGTGGCCAGATGTGAGGCAGCAGGGTGACTCCAACGGATGCGGGTGCCAGTGCCCAAATAGGAACTGAAATGGGGGGACGTTTGGTTTGGGGGCTGTCGAGTTCTTCATGCGGGGTGAGGCAGTTTGATTTTGGCGTTCAGGATGTATAGAGGTCTGGGCTACAGATGTGGCTCTGAGGGGTAATTGAGCAGAAAAGATGAAAAAGTATAAAAGTTGCCGCTATTCCTAGGAAGAGCCTGTGGAGTGAGGAAGGGACTGAAGGTAAAATCTGAGCACTTGCGTGAGCAGAGAATTCTCTCAGCACGGCCTCCGGAGGGGGAAGGAGGCCCAGGGGTGTGAGGTGGGAAGAGAGATCGGTAGATGCTTTCCAAGAAGGAACGTGCTAGATGTGGGTGAGTGGTCTTGTAAGGTGAGGATGGAGAACAGTCCATTGGATATGAGGGTAAGCAGGTCCCGGGTGCCAGCATAGGCGGGTATTTTCAATTTCAGATACATTGGTGGTAAAAACAACAAAACTAGAATTACTCCTTAGGTAATAACACGAAAGTTTGACTGTATTAGATTTCATTTTTCATAGCTGTAAAAGTTAAGGCTTTGAATTAGATGGTTTTTCACGTTCATTTTAACTGCGTATATGCCTATGATTGACTGAGTGTGTTGTGTTTATACAAATATGCATGATCATAATATTGAGGTATATGCAAGGATCATTTTTTTAATATTTTATGGATTAAAATACAAAAATAGAACAATATAATGAACCACAATTTATCCATTACTCATGTGGAATATCTTACAATTTTTATTTCATTCACCCTCCCATTCTTCCATTTCTTTTATTCTGATATATTTTAAAGCAAATCCAAGATGTAATTTCACTCTATTGATGCAAATAATTAATAATCATTCTATAAATCAAAACTGAGGTGAGTTTATTATGAGCCAACTCTAAGGACCATATAGCCTAGGGGAGTACCTTCACTAAGGAAAGCAGCTCTCTAAAGAAGTAGGGTATACAGAGTGGTTCTAGTCTGTCTTAGAACAAAGAGCATATATCACCCACGATAGGAATGTTCTTTTTCCAATATCACGAGATTGCTTTGCTGGCACTGCAGGTGAGTGGTCGCAAGATGAGCATAGCAAATCAGTAATTGATCCTTAGTTTTTAGGAAGAGATGCTTGTCCTTAAGGGAATACTGACATGGGGGAAGACACATCACTGTCTTTAAGGGCATCATTCTTGTCTGTGGGACATCATAAATGTTTTAAACCAAATTAGTTTTGGGGCCAGCCCGGTGGCCCCAGTGGTTAAGTGCACGTTCTGCTTCTCGGCGGCCCGGGGTTCGCCGGTTCGGATCCTGGGTGCAGATATGGCACCGCTTGGCACGCCGTGCTCTGGTAGGCGTCCCACATAGAAAGTGGAGGAAGATGGGCACGGATGTTAGCTCAGGGCCAGGCTTCCTCAGCACAAAAGAGGAGGACTGGCAGTAGTTAGCTAGTTAGCTCAGGGCTAATCTTCCTCAAAAAAAACAAAAGAAAAACCAAATTAGTTTTAAACCAAATGGCTTCCCCATATACTCCAGTATATCCTATTGCTTGACATTTATTCAGCTGTAAATATTTCACTACAAATATCTGACAGGTAAAGCATTTAAAAAAAAAAAACCATAATATAAACCCACAAAATTAGCAATATCTTAATATTCCAATTCTGTTGTTTTTAATGAACCACACTGCAAATATTGCCTTGGAATTAACAATGACCTGCAGGAAGTATTACTGTTGCCATTTTGTATGCGTGAGGATGAGACTGAGAGGTTGAGGAAGGGGGCCTGGCCCCTGAGAGTGGCCCTCCTCTCTGTTTGTTTTCTTCCTGCGAGTAGCTTCCACCTGGTATCCAAATGGTCACAATTTGCAGATTTAAAAAGATATTTTTTGATATATATACTACAACATCCAGAGGAAGGGAGGGTGTTTCTTTGGAATAAGGACAGTTTTTTGTCAGAAGCTCAGAACAAATACATCTCCCTTCATATCTCACTCCCTGTTGGTTTCTCAACCAGTCCTGTTGCCCAGGGAACCCTGCGGGCTGACTGGCTGAGGCCAGGACCACCTGCACCAATCGCCATGGCAAGGATAGGTGAACCAGCTGGCGTTAAAACAGGGGGTGTCTCTGGAGCTAGAAATGAGGTCAGTTCATTCCTGCCACTAACCCTGTTGACCTCACAGTTGGAGAAGGGCAGAAGGACAGTGAGAGCACAATGTGCACAACAGTATCTTTCAATCACCCATTGTAAGCATCTATAATGAAGGAGGCCTTTGTGTAACCAGGACACAGCTGGCACAGTGCCTCACTCATGGTAAGCTCCCAGCATCATGGAACATTGAATGTGTGTCGAGTGATTAAATCAAGCATGTGTAAGATGTGTTCTTTACCCTTAAAGACAAGAAATACAGTTTGAAGATATTCTTGAACATTAACAGACAGAAAGCTACATTGATTTAAAAATCAAAGTAGGTAAAAGAGGATTGAATTTTGCAAATATGGTGCTTAGAAATTTGGGGACAGAACTAAGTTTGTTTTCATTGACCTAGAAAAACATTTTAATCTTTTTGTTGTGATTTTTATTTTGTAATTTATTCTTTTAAAGTAAACTTTTAATTTTGAAATGATTTTAGATTTGCAGAAAAGTTGTAAAGATACTACTGAGAGTTCCTATATACCCCTCCCCTAGTTTCCCTCATTGTTAACTTCATGCATTACCATGGTAATGTCAAAACAAGGAAACTAGCGTTGATACATGACTATTAACTAAGCTCCAGACTTTATTTGGATTTCATTAGGTTTTTCCACTAATGTTCCTTTTCTGTTCCAGGATCCAATCCAGGATACCACATTGCATTTAGTGTCGTCCGCTCTGATATGATAGTAAGCTAGTAGTCCACATTGTAGCACACTGTGTCTCAAAAATAAGGCAGGCGTGTAATTAGAGATGAACCTGTGCAGATCAAAATCAAATGTGGGTTATTTCAGATGCTTCCAGGGTAACTTTTGCCATTTAGAAAAGCCTATTTATAATATTCCACCCGTTTTTGACAGAAGCTACACAGCCCATCGGTGAAAAGCACAGGCTATGGACTCAGGTCTTTATTCAAATCTTGCTTCCAGCATTTAGCCTGAAGTCTGACTTTGGACAAGCTACTTAATCTCTCTGTGTCTTGTCGTCCTCATCTGTGATAGAGGAAAATACTAATACCGCCCTTAAAGCATGGTTTGAGAATTAAATGAGATAATCCTTGCAAAGTGCAGGAAATGGTGTGTCTAGCTATGTTCATGATTTATTTTTATTTCAAGTAGGGACTGCCTTTCTTAAAACTCTTTAATATGAATTACTAATGTAGACAAAAGTCCAGAAGAAATATTTATGCTATATAAAATAAAATCTTTGCAAAGACTTTGAAGTACTTCAGAAGTAACAATTACATATAACCAACTGGTGTTCTTATTACAACTTTCAAACTGTGTGTTCACTTCAGGTTTAGTTTTCTAGCTTTATTTACTACATAAGTTTTTTTTTCCTTCAAGATCATCAAGGCTAATGTATTTACATAAATGATTAGGATATGTTACAGAGGGCACAGAGATAAGTATTTCCCACCTTCTTCCATCTCCCCCGGTATCCCTCCAAAACAGGAGCCAGTGGGCTCATACCTCACATTCTTATACTGGCTCTCCAGGTGCTCATTCAGGTTATTAATGGAATTTCCTATTTTGCTTTGTGTATGTCTTTTCTGCTTTAATTTTCAATTGTTGTCTTGCCTGCCCCCTGCCCCAGCCTTTTTTTTTTAAAGATTGGCACCTGGGCTAACAACTGTTGCCAATCTTCTTCCTCCCGGCCCCTCCCCCCAGTACATAGTTATATATTTTTTAGTTGTGGGTCCTTCCAGTTGTGGCATGTGGGATGCCGCCTCAGCATGGCCTGATGAGTGGTGCCATGTCGGCGCCCACGATCCGAACCGGCAAAACCCTGGGCCGTTGAAGCTGAGCGTGGGAACTTAACCGCTCAGCCACGGGGCCGGGCCCCTCCCCCTGCCTTTTAACAGTAACTGTTTATTATGGAAAATTTCAACATATAGAGCAGTGGAGAGAATAATGACCCCTTTACTCAGCTTTAAAAATGATAACCTCACAGCCAATTTTGTTTCCTACTCTTTCCCCCACTCCCAGGAAGTCCTCCTGTATTTCATTTTGAAGCCGATCTCAGACCTATCTGTGAATACTTCCAGTTTGTGTGTCTAAAAAACAAAGATTGCCCTTTTCAAATATAATCACAGTATCGTTATCAGACACTTATAAATTAACAGTATTTCATCAGTATCATAAATATCAATCTATTTTTACATTTCCTTAATTTTCTCATGCTTGTTCCTTTTCTTTTAATGCAGTTTGAGTTGAGATTGAAACTAGGTCCATGTACTGTGATTGCTGAATATGTCTCCTCAGCCCTTTAATCTATGGGTTCTTTTACCACTTTTCTCTCTTTTTTTTCCTTTTACAGTTATTTTGTTGTATAAACTATGACATTTGTCCCATAGTTTCCCAGACTGCATTTTGCTGGTTACATCCTTGTGTCATTATTAACACATTCTTCTGGTCCTTACTTTATAAAAAGGTAGAGATTTGATCATTTTCAGATTTGATTTGTGAAATCTGGCGGCCACTGAAGAATGTTGCCTAGATCTATTAATTCATTAGTGGTTGCTAAATATCGATATTCTAATTTTGTCATTCTCTCT